GGCTCTTCCACAGACTCTTCTGGGGTGTGACTGGGTGTCCTTCATTCCTTCCTGGCAATTGCCCAGTCCAGGGGCTGCAGGAGCACGCAGTGCTGGCAGGACAGATGCCCACAGAGGCAGAGGGGGGAGCAAAGGCTGGTGGTGCTCCCTGCACGTTGTTGGCTCAGCAGCACCAGAGAGAAGATCTGCTGATGTGCAGAGTGTGCACCCCCAGGCTCCCCCAGCTGGGGAAGGGCTCAGGGCACACCGGGAGGCAAGTGGCTTTTTGCCAAGTTACATGGCAAGCAGGATACAGAGGAACAATGTAGGAATCCAGGAAGCCAGGAGAGCTCTCCTCATGGCCATTAACAAACAAACAGCCCTACTCCAACTACCCCTTGCACTGCTGCCCAGCTCCCACATCCCACAGCACCCAGGGGGCTCTCACAGGGACAGCCCAAGCTCCTGCTGCAGGTATTGACCCTTTGTAGGTGTCCTCTTCTTCCTGCTCACCCCTGGGTTCACTTGCTTTTGCACACCTCTGGATCTCAAGCAGTGCCATCTGCACTACCTGGCCACCCCCTTTTCTGCATTTTCCATCACTTGTGAAAAACTCCAGCTGTGGCAATTAGGAACAGCTAATTGCAGCAACCATGCTGCCACTTCTCCACACATTTCTTACCCCTTCCCTTGTTCTGCTCTGACACAGCCTTTATGTCCATTAGTGGTGTGTTTGTTGAATCAATCTGTCAGTCCCTGTACATTCACAAAAATCATTATCCTGACAAGACAGAAGGAATCCCGTGTCTTTGGGAATGCAGAACCATCAGTATAACTCCTGGGTAGAAAGGAGGCACACATTGGGCATACATGAGAACAAAGTCGTTTCTGACTGTGTGAGAGGAAGTGTTCTGTCCATCTGTGGATTTTAAAGCCCAAATATAAAGACTGGTACACACTTTTAAAGAGAAAGGAATGACACCACGGCCACAGAGTATAGGCCACATTTAAACAGCAGATCCTTACCTTATGTCCCCAACCTCATTTTATTTCCTAGCTTCAGTATTCATGGTCACTTGGTTCAGATTCCCAGATGCAGCTATCGTTGAAGAAATTCTCAGCAGTATATTTACTGACACTATTCAGCAAGAACTGCTGCTGTTCTGTTTTTCACATTCTGTCAATAAAAGCCTTCATCTTTTCTTTTGAAGTTTATTAATTATCCATAATTACTAGAATTGCCTTTCCAAGGTGGTCAGTATATTTGTTCTGTGCCAGTCCCTCTTCTCACATCATCTTGTTGCTAAGTGTGAAATATGCAAATTTTTATTAAGATACCATGTTGTTTGCTGTTTGATAACTTGTACCTTGCAAACCTGATCAACAAGGAGGGAGATTTAATCCATGAAACAGAGCGGCCAACAAGCTCTAAGTGATGTGCAGCTGTTAGAAACACAAATTCCTGGTCAGCAGCATTGCCTTGTTAAGGTTTGGGGCTGGACAGGTTCCGATGATCTCAGCCCCATGGGAAGATAACAGAGCTGCAGCGTGGCAGCTGTCAGGGCAGCACTGCGTGGCTGCTTGGTACACACTGTGACACACCACAGATGCTTTGCTGCCAACAGCCCTCCCCGAAACTGCCATTGACACAGCTTCTCTGAGCCTTTCTACATTTCCAAACGCCAATTGTAAGTTTCAGAGCGTGGGAAGAGCCCTTGCAGGGGTTCCTGCCACGCAAAGGGTGGAGGGAAAATCATGCAGGAGTGTTATTCCGTGGGGACTGTAGCAAACAAACCTGCCTTTGCCAAAAAAATAGTGCTGACCACATGGCACCCCATCACTCAGTAGCTAAGAGCAGGACACCCTCTCACCAAGCCCCGTGGGAAACCAGCAGCTCCTGAGCGTGGGCACTGAAGAGGCAAACTAAAACATTTACCAGCACCAGCCGAAGCAACACCAACATACCAACTACCCCACATAGCTCAGCAGAGCCCCAGAGCCACCCTGCCTTCCCCTGCTTCAACTCTACCAAGGTTCTCACACTCTACAGGACACACATCCTGCAGCCAGTGAGGACATGCTGATGGCAATGGCTGGTTCAGCTCCTGTGTTCCAGCCCTTCTACATTAATGTTGTGGAGGAGGAAGATTACATGGGTTTCCTTGATACGGATCATGCAGATAAGCTACTGAAGGAGTATCAGCAGAGAGAGTGTCTTGATTTGGAACAGATGATGGCAGAAAGGTGAGAACAGGTCTGCAGTTCATGGTGAAAATGAAGGAATTGTGTGCTTTCCTGTACGCTGGCTGAGAATCTCAATGGCACTCTCACTAAACCTGAATGGTGACAATTGGCTGGAAGCTCCTTTAGGAACCATTGGGGCGCTGTGCAGTGCACCCAGTGCTGCCAAAGCTGGAGTTACTCCAAGGTGCTTTTAGCTCAGCTGCTTCTGAGTGACTGAGCCGTGTTCATGGGCTCCAGGAGGTGCAGTGGATGGTTAATCTCTGATGCAAGATCTGTGCCAAATGGCAGGACTTTAGATCATGACATTCCACACTTTCCCCTTTACAGGCCTAAGCTTTTCTTCCATTTCAGTGGCATTTTTAGGAGTTTACCTTTTTTAGGGATTTTGGCTAGAGAGCTGGCTGATGGAAAGACACCTGAAGGTTTAGTAAAGGTTGCCTGAAAAACAGTTGTTGAGCGTGGTTACTGAAAATATTTTCTTAGTGAAATATTTAACTAAGGGGTTACAGTGAGGACTTCTGGCCTCTTGTGCCTGGATTGGGGACAGCATTGGATTTGTTTGTAGCTAAAGCTGCTGTCAACTGCAGAATCTGCATAGAAGACTTTTCAGCAGTGGGGGTCCTGTTGATTTTTGGTGACCTCTATAAAATTGCGGAACTTTAATTATGTTGGATTCAAAATTGAAAATAATACCATCACATTTAAGAACCACAAAAATGTTTGAGAAATTATTAGAGGAAGGGGGTTTTGATGGAATACAGCAGATATCTGGTGGATTTGATTCCCATGTGATAGTTGAAAACACTTAGTAAATTGTAGGTCACCAGAAACCAAAGAACTAGAAGCAAAATATTCACTTGCAACCTCTAAGAGGAATTTTCTCTGAACAGGTATATCTTTTTCAGTGTATTTAGTATAATTTACCGTGAGTTTACAGTCCTCATTGTTTTCTCAGCAGCTGAGACTCACAGCATTGCCCATCTGGCAGTGCACAGTGAGCACTGGCCGTGCCCTCAGCCTCAGGAGCTGCACCCAGCACAGCCTGGCAGGGCGGGCAGGGCACTGGGGCAGAGCTCAGGAGCCACCACAAACCCAGCACAGGCTGCAGACACAGCCAGCACTGCTTGGGGTCACCTGCAGTGCCTGCCACCCGTTTGCCCTGGGAGCAGCCAGGTTAAAGCTGGCTGGGGTTTATCTCCAGGCACTGTAAATCACACCTGTGCAAATACACAGGGGAAGATTTGGAGTAAAGTGCACAAGGAGCATTTGGAGTAAAGTGCACAAGCACAGCCACAGCACTCAGCACTAACAGGAGCAAAAGAGATGTGCTAAACTAATTTGAAGACTGTGGCTCTTGTAAGCCACTGAGCTGTAAAGAGAGGTGTGAGCAGGACTGGATCTGGAGAAATGGAGCCCCTCTCCTGTGGAGACAGGCTGAGAGAGCTGGGATGTTCAGCCTGGACAGGAGAAGGCTCTGGGCACACCTCAGAGCCCCTTGCAGGAGCCCCAGGCAGCCTCCAAGGAAAATGGAGAGGGGCATTTGCCAAGGGCATGTAGCAACAGGACAAGGGGGATGGCTTCAAACCAACTAAGGTAGGTTTAAATCAGATGCACAGAAGAAATTCCCCCCTCTGAGGGTGCTGAGGCTCTGGCACCCAGAGCTGCCCAGAGCAGCTGTGGCTGCCCCACCCGCGGCAGTGCCCAAGGCCAGCTTGGACAGGAAGGTGTCCCTGCCCATGGCACAGGTGGCATGAGTAGAGCTTGGAGGTTTCTTCACACCCAAACCATTCTGTCATCAGATCAGCTTTTGAAACGCATCAGAGTCTTTGAAATGCTCGTTCTGACAACTGAGAATTCACATGATCGGAAATTGCAAAACTGCCAAACTTTCTGGGGCAAGAGCTACTGAGTCAGAAAAAAAAAGAAGAAAAAGGCAGAGCCTAATACCTGCATAAAACCAACACAACCTCTTAGTTAGTGTGAGCAGAAAATCTCTACTCAGCTATTCTCTTCTCTCCTTTTCATATCGTCCTTCAATTATGGGTGTGCAATGTATTGAAATAAATCCTCTGGATTTTCCAGAGGCATTAGATATAGAGTTACCACCCAAATACCCCCCTTTACTATTGCTCCCACTTGACAAAAGCTAATCATTCATCTCTTTCTGGTTGTTACTGCATTGCAACGCTATTCCAAACATCCCTGAACACACAGAACTGAGTCACAGCTGCCTCCTGCAAGCTGCAGGAAAAGCTGGGGTTTTCCTAGTATTGGGGGTTTTGTCAGAAAAATGCTTTTCTGAGAATAAAAATGACTCCACATTTACTTCAGTAAAAGTACACCTGCAGGGCTATAGGTTTGGTCTTGGCTAGACTGTTTCCCACACGGAGATCTCAGCACCCAAAGGCAGTGAATGTGAGCGAGCAGAGCCGAGGTGTCCTGCAGGTGTGTGCGGGGCAGGCTGAGCAAAGCCTCCCCCGGAGCCGCAGCCGGACGTGCTGCAGCAGCAGGACAGCGCTCCCGGCAATGCCGGGCCGTTTCCAAAGCACTTGGAACCCGCGGGGCCCGGGATTCTGGCAATGCCGTGGCCAAGGAGCGCTGGGGAGGCAGCAGGAGCGCCGTGGGCAGGAGGGCTCCCCGCTCCCGGGCCCAGCCCGGCAGTGCCGGCCTGGCTCGCAGCCCGAGCGCTGCCTCGCCTCAGCCGGGTTTGCCTTGCGTAAGGCGGCCCAGGCCGGGCCTATAAAGGCCCGGCCCGCGGGCTCGGTGCCAGTGGCACCATGGCAGCTGCGAGGGACACGGCGCTGCTGGCCTGGATCCTCTGCCTCGGCGGCACGGCGCTGCTGGCCACAGGTAAACACCGGGGATACTGCCCAGGGCACCTGCAGGAGACACGGCACCTGCACCTGCCTCCCGGGGCCAGCCGAGAGCAGGGCACAAACCCTGGCCAGGGATGGGCTCAAACCCTGGCCAGGGATGGGCACAAACCCTGGGCTGAGCTGAGCACAAACCCTGGGCAGGGATGTGCACAAAACTGGGGCTGAGCAGGGCACAAACCCTGGCCAGAGCCAGGCAAAAACCCTGGGCTGAGTTGGGCACAAATCTTGAGCAGGGATGGACACAAACCCTGGACTGAGCCAGGCACAAACCCTGGGCTGAGTTGGGCTCAATCCCTGGCCTGATCTGGACACACAAACTGAGCTGCAGAAGCAAAAATTCATTTCTGTTTTTAATCTGCTTTCAGTCATTTGTTTTACTTGCCTCCTTTGCAATAAGCAAAGTCAAATCCCTATCCCAAAATCTTGCCTGCTGAGGCTGAGCAGCCACAGTACCACATCTGTATTTGATGTTAGAACTTTCACACAGATCTTAAAATGGGTTTTTATTTAACCACCCAGGGCAAAAAAAAAAAAAATTAAGATCTCTATGCAACCACCAATGTGTGTGTGGTACGACAATACAAATTATATACCTGAAGGAGATGGACGTACAGGCCAATCAAAATGAAGGCTGTAATAATGGCAGCTCTACTGATTTAATTAGGGTATAATGAAAATACATCAGAATAAATTAAAATTAAATTTTAAAAAATTAAAAATTAACATTTAAATTCAATTAAACTAAAATTTAAATGAGTAAACACTAGTAATCAAATTAGTAAAATCAGAGAGTAAAATAATATAGCATATTAAGATAGTATAGTGTCAAAGCTGATGAGAGTTTGTTGAGGCTTTATGTATAAAAACTACTTGTTTAAGTGCACAAAAGGTGTATATTTAAGTAGCAAATCTAGCAATTGCTTACAAACAGACCAGTGATGTGATTCTGTGCTGCTGTCCCACAGAACAACCAGAAGCAGAGACCAAATACGGGAGAGTCCGAGGGTACCAATTCCAAGTGGACACAGCTGACAGGACTGTAAATGTCTTTTTGGGACTTCCTTTTGCTAAGCCTCCACTTGGAGCACTGAGGTTTTCTGAACCCCAGCCACCTGAGCCATGGGAAGGTGTCAGAGATGCCACTTCCTACCCACCAATGTAAGGCAATGACCAAACCACTGAACCTTTCATGATGTTAAACTCTGGGCACTTCCATGACACTGATGTGCTCACAGGGCCATCCATGAAGGCAAATTCCTTGGTGCCCCCCCTCGTTGCACCTGCAGCTGTCCCAGTGGATGCATTTCTAAAGACACTCTGGGAGCTGCTCTCTGTACCAGCAGCTGCTGTTTGACAGGCATCACAGATGAGCTGAGATGGAGCAGCACTTACAGACAATGCTCTGCCTCAGGAGCACTTGGCCATCCCTTACCAAGCACTGGAAACCTTAGGAGCAAGGACAGAAAGGAGCTGAGGAAATGCTGGAACACAGCCTTAGGGGAAACTGCCGAGTCAAGTGCTTAAAAGGGCACATAGGAAATGCACAGCAATTCCAATCTACCTTGTAAATGTCTCACTCACTACTGTTGTCCTACTGGCCTTCTTCAGTGTCTCAAGGCTAATATCTGCCATTGCAATGGAAAAAGCAATTGGAGACTTCAAATAATTCATTTATATTTTCATATGTATTTCACATACCAATCTAAAAGTTTGCTGCAGATCAATTTCTGCTTGGCACTTTGTTGTGGAAGTACAAAAAAGCTTCTCTTCACTGCTTTCAGGATTTAGTGAATTCTCTTGCCTGTTACTTTTGTATTTATTCAGGTGTCTACAGGACCAAGTACAAGGACAGGATTTTTCAAATATGGTTACCAACAGAAAAGAGAAAGTTGCTCTGCAAGTGTCTGAGGATTGCTTGTACCTAAATGTCTACACACCTGTTTCTACAGGAGAAGAGGAGAAGCTGCCTGTAAGCAAAATCCTTAAAACACTTTGAGGAAAATTATCTGACAGGAAACTTCAACCTCTGCCATGAGCAGACATGCAGGGGCACTTTTGTAGCGATGAACAACTTACATGCTTTGTCCCAGCCAATATTAACTGAAATTAAAGAGACACATAACCCTATTTTACAAGTAAAATTGTATTGCCATTTAGCTAAGCAGTGCTTGCTTTAATCCAAAGGATCTGTCCAAAGTCACAGGACACTGACAGAGTGTTAGCATTTAACAAAAGTAGTGCCATTTTGTAGCCCTGCAGGCCTTAGATTTGAATGATTTCTACAATTTGTGAAATGTATTCTGAAAGAATCAGGAGTGAAATAGCACCAAATGTTGTTTCTTGGGCTATATTTAGTTTTTCTCACTGGGGGCTCTTACCTGTGCTGGGTTGATCCTGTGTTTCTTTTTCCAGGTCCTAGTATGGATCCATGGAGGTGCATTAGTTTTTGGAGCAGCTTCATCATATGATGGCTCAGTACTTGCAGCATTTGACAATGTGGTGGTTGTAGCAATTCAGTACAGATTAGGTATTGCTGGATATTTTAGGTAAGTTGGTTGATCTCAGTTTTTCCTAAGTGATTTCTACAAGGATGTGTGCAAAGCCCTTGTAAAGAGAAGTGCAGAAGACTTGCTTATGCAAAGAAACATTTCTGAACTGCACGTGCAGCACTGGGGACGATTTCCAGTGCCAAGGCAGCTTCCAGGTCTGTTCTTGTGGGGCTGCTGCTCCAATCTCAGCGATGCCCCAGCCATCCATTTGTCAGTCGTGAAGGGAAGTTCTGTGCAGAGAATGGCAGATGATTTCTCCCACCACAGATTGTACTTTCCTCTGCCTCCTGGCTTGTATTGAGCACTTGAACAAATCTGTTCTCTCCCTGCAGCACTGGTGATGAGCATGCCCGAGGTAACTGGGGATATTTAGACCAAGTGGCGGCTCTTCGGTGGATTCAGGAAAATATCATGCATTTTGGAGGAGATCCAGGATCTGTCACTATCTTTGGAGAATCTGCAGGAGGAATCAGTGTTTCTGCTCTTGTAAGTTCACAGTAATATTGAATTGTAATTACTTAGGGGAAAAAATCCCCTCCATCCATTTTCAGTATCTGCATGGGAAGTCAGCAAGAGAAAAGGGACGGGGTTACAGTGACACATCACCTGCGTCTTTGATAACACAACAAGGCAAAACAACACAGCTTTTGAATGACAAAAATGTGTCATTTTCATGCTCAAATGTTGTGGTTAAGGAAGAGAATGTCATTACTCATCTGTTGAATTAAATTTTGGTCCGTTTGGGTTTTTTTCCCAATGTAAACAACCCTCAAGGTCTAATCTCATGAGAAAAGTCCTTTAGGAGGAGTTGTGGACTCTTGCCCAATTTCTGTTTCATTTGACAGTGCAAAGTGATTGAGGTGAATAGTTCTGGTAGCTGGTGCAGCCCTGCAGTTTGTGACCCTGTGATTGTGTAAAATCTTTACTCCAACACGGAGCACATTGGCTGTGAGTCTCTCCTTCTCCAGGGGGCCACTTTGGTACAGCTCACACAGCCCAGCCAGGCTTCCTTGTACCTGGCATACACATCCCTGCTTCCTCGGGCCAGAAGCTCTTTCCTGCCCTTCTGCAGCAGAGCCAGCCTGCCTTGGGCACATCCCATCTGTACCTGCCCTGCAGGGCGGTGCTGGGAGGCCCTGGGAGCAAAGGGCAGGGGGAGGGAAAGGCCCTGAACTCCCCATCCCTGCCAGGGCTGCCAAAGCACTTTGCACAGCTGGGCTATGGCCAGAGGCTGCACAGGGACACTCTTAGCACATGGCCTTTCCAAATGCTCCCAATGGCCTCGGCTGATACTGAAACCCAAAATGCCAGGGGAGAACACAGTGCTTGTCATGCTTGTCCTTGCTTTCTCACAGGTCTTATCTCCCCTGGCCAAGGGCTTGTTCCACAAGGCCATTTCAGAGAGTGGCACTGCAGCCCTGGGCTTGTTCACTGACCAGCCTAAGGAGGATGCACAGGTGGGTACTTGTGGGAATTTTAATTCCTTTTTCCACATAGTTCTGCATATCTTACACTGTTCAGTCCAAAATATTGAATCATGTGAATTCACATTTCTTGTGGATCAAAGCAGTCATTAAAGACAGTATTTCTGTGTGCAAATAGTACATGTTTAATGATGTGCTGCTTTTCAAACACCCAAATATCCCCAATGAGAGAAGAATGAAAAGTCCAGGAATATTGTAACTTGTAGTGTCTTCCAAAAAACTGAACTTATACTGTTTGGCTGGAAACCAGTATCAGACTGAATATTCTTCTATTCCCCTCCTGTTTGATGCCTGTAGTGTGCAAATAAACAAGACTTTATTCAGCTGTTTTTTTTTACTTTGAGATCTACAGGCTTCCAGCCCTTTCTTTTCTCTTCAACTGCAAGGAACAATTTCCAGAACCTGGAAGCTGGGACATAAGAGAGACAGCTGTCTCTAATGACAGCTCTTGCTCCAGCCAAAAAGACATCACCAAGAGTGGTAGAATGTGCTCCCTGTTGCAGATGGTTTATTCTCTAACTCCTTTATGTCACCCAGCCTTCTCAGCCCAGCCTGTTATTTACCAGCATTGTCTCAGAATATTTCTGTATCAAAAAAACCTGCAGTCAGAGGTTTTCCCCTTCATACCCAGCCCATGGTGTGAAGGATTGTGAGGGCTTCCAGTGCCCTCTCTCAGGAGCTGGGACAAGCCAGGCTCCAGCACCCTTTGTGCAGGAGCTTTGGCTGCTCCTGCTGCACTCGGTGTCTCACAGAGCCAGACAGAGGAAATGTGTCCAAAACTGTTTGTTCTCACTGCTTGCAGAAAATTGCTGCTGTCTCTGGCTGTGAAAAATCCAGTTCAGCTGCAATGGTTGAATGCTTGAGAGGAAAAACAGAAGAAGAACTACTACAGATAACTCAAAAAATGGTAGGTGAAATGATTCTTCTTGCATTTAAATGACACCTCAGATCTTTTCATCCCAGAGAATACTCTTTGTGGGCTGTAATATTAGGAGAACCTGAAGTGGATGTAAAATCTGACGTTCTTGACTTTTTTAGGATATGACAGCACTGCAGATCTGCAGTGAATTCTTGCCTGAAAAGTGCAAACAGGTTCCTGCCCTTCATTCTGCATGCACTTGGAGCTGCCTGTGGTTTGCTGTCATGCTCAACCAGGGCAAGGAACAGAAAATGGCACAGATGATTCTGGAGAACCTGAAAATCAAACCATATATTATGTCCTACTTAAAAGTTCTTATCACATTGCTTATGTGCCTTTGAAACTTCAATACAGGAGTGGTTTTCCCCCACTGTTCCACACATCTATGGCCATATTGTACTAAGAAAAGATATAATTCAACATAATGGCTTCTGCTTCAAAAATACTAGAAATACAATGTTAATCTTCACAGTCTTCGGCCGAGTGCAAAACATCAGACGGAAAAAGATTTAAGATGGCTTGGATACCATTAATTTTTGAATTTTATTTTGGCTTCACTTTGCAACTGCAGTTAAAATCTGAACTTCTTTAGGAAGCAAAAGGAATGCGCTAATGAAACTTTCTTTGTTCCGTTTTTGTTCAGGATGTCCTTTTCATCAGTGCATGTGTAGATGGTGAATTTTTTCCAAAGAGTCCCAGGGAATTACTCTCTGAAAAATCAATCAATGCTGTCCCATACATCATAGGAGTAAATAACTGTGAATTTGGATGGGTAATGCCTACGGTAAGACACTAACCATATTGATATTTAAACATCATTTTGTGAATAGAAGATTTTTAATTAAGTATGATTCTCTGTATCACGCAGGGATTGAAATATCCTCCTTTTGTGGATGGTCTGGATAAAGATGTTGCACGTCAAACTTTACAGAGCAACTTAGCAGTATTCATTAAGGTAAGAGACCAGTTTCAGAATAACCCAGTGCTGCTGCTTGGCTGGTCAGGCTGGTTTCACCCCTGGAGGGACACATTTCACAGGGAAATGCCATTGTGCTGGACAGCTCCCTGAATTGGGGCAGAAACAGGCACACATGTGCTGCATTCCTGTTACCTCCAGTGACTGCAAATACCCTCTCCATTTCCAGCCTAAATGTCCATCTTCCTCCAAAGGAGTTCTGTGGGAATCCAGCAGTGATGCAGGTCCATAAACAAGGTCTCTTGGATATTGTAGATCCTCCCAGTTATGCAAGACGTGCAGAGTAGCAGCAGGTCTGGCAGGACACCTATGGGACACAACCTCCTAAAGCAGTAGCTGGGCACTGGAAAGGACAGCCTGAGAGGTTTGGGGTGCTCTGACACCTTCCTTCAGGTTTCTTGAGGTTTTGCTTCCCTGTAATTTACAAATCTCTTGGCTTTGTAGTGCCTTTGTGCTCTCCTGAAGCTAATCCATAGAAAAGTACAGATTATGAGGTAAGAATTAAGGACTCTAGAAGCAGGGCCAGTACTTGCAAGGATCATTCAATGACACAAACATCCACCAGGAACTTGGAAATGCAGAGCCCAAGCTTGTACTGAACGGGAGAAATTATGGTTATCCACAACAATCAATGGATTTTATGAAATCCAGCAGGATTTCTGTGCTGTTGTGAAGGTGTTTCCACAGAAGAGAGAAGAGTCAGCATCACTGACTGCCGCTTATCTAAAGGTGGTTGATCCTTTGATCTTGCATCCCTCTTTTCCCCAAGATCACCTGTATCCACAGCTGTGGAACTTCACTCTGAGCCACACTCTGACACAGCTGGGGATTTTCTCTGAAAGCTGTTGTTGAGGATTAGCCAGGCATGTGCAGAGGCCACACTCACCCACTGCTGTTGCTCCTTGTACCATTCATCATCATTATAATACTTTTCATTGCTGTTTCAGGGCCTTACATCTGAAGTTGTTGACAGAGTGTACAAGGAGTACATGGGGGATGCAGAAAGCCCTGCTCAGGTCCGAGATGGCCTCCTGGATGCAATGGGAGATGTCTACTTTGTCATCTCATCTGTGGAAGTGGCCAGATACCACAGAGGTACCCAGCAGCTTCAGAACAGCTGTACAATTCTGTCGGGGGCTGGTGTGGACAGTGTGCATCACTTTTCACCATCCAGAGCACTGACAGTGCTTTTATTTAACCAAAACAGTTTTTCATGAAAGTTTATCATCTCTGGAGCAGTATTTTCAGCTCTCAAACCAGCACTTTTCTGTATCCTCTAGATGCTGGCAACCCAGTCTACTTTTATGAATTCCAACATCGGCCGAGTTCCGCGGAAGGTTTGGTACCAGAGTTTGTAAAAGCAGATCATGGAGCTGAGATTGCCTTTGTCTTTGGAAAGCCATTCTTAGCTGGTAATGTACCCATATGTACTCCATCTTCCTTTTAGACCCTCATTATGTCTCATTTCAATTACTGCAGGGCTTTAGAATAGAATTTCTCTCTTATATGCTTCAAAAACATTATACTTATTATTAGCATACTTTATATATCATAAGCATCATTATGAGCATAAGCATCTTCTGTCTTCAGTAGCAGATACTTTTCATTACATCATTCATCTGCACGTCTCTCCTACAAAAACCTCCTAGAAAAACAGGGCAACCAGGAGAAGTGTTGCAATTGATACAGCTGATACTCATTAGTTACTTTCTAATGTGGCCCTTCCATCTCTCCCTTTGCAGGAGGGGCTACAGAAGAAGAAAATGAACTTAGCAGGACTGTTATGAGATACTGGACCAACTTTGCTAAAAATGGGTGAGAATCACAGTGCTAATTACAGCTCAAGTTCAGTCTGTGCTGCCCAGAAGGTACTTACCTGCCTGAAGCAGTACTTATATGCTGCTTCTAGAAATTTGACAGAATTTAAGAGAAATATTGAAGCAATATCTCTTCTTATTGGTCTTAAAACAACCAATAAAACCCAGCAGAAATGAGGACCAAAAAAATCTAAGAGCAGTTACTCCATCTGCAATGGAGTTTTAGATCTAAAATGAATGGCAACTTTTACACTTTTGCTGTTCCACTGATGAGCATTTTCATAAAATACTGTCCATTTATTCAGGTACCAGAATCACATCAGCTGGGCTCACCTGTTGGTTTTCTGAACTGCTCTGAACCTGAGCAGTCAGACAGCAATGGATTGGCAAATGGAGAGCTAACTTGTCCTTCTGTTGTTTCCAGAAATCCCAACGGAGAGGGCTTGGTCCATTGGCCTCAGTATGACCTGGAGGAAAAATACCTGGCAATAGACCTGGAGCAAAAGGCAGCAAAGAAACTGAAAGAACACAGAGTGCAGTTTTGGGCACAGCTCATGAAACAAAGTCAGACTGGAAGGAGAAAACACACAGATTTATAAGAACTGTGGAGGGCACCATTTGCTTTTAAAGCCCAAAGGAAAGTCAAACAAAATGAGTTTGTCAGCATACAGAGTAATAATCACCTCCTAACTCACTGTTGTGTAATCTGCTGTCCTAATCCCAGTGAAGGGACAGAAACAAGGGGCATTCAGAATGTTTGTCAGACTGAAAATCACTATTTAATGAAGCAAGCAGAAAAAAAAAAAAAAAACAATCTGTCCAGGTCCAGACAGACCATGGTACCTACTCAAGGCAAATCAAAACTGAATACTGAGGTGGGAATGGGCAAATGAACTGAAATCTGTAAGAAATTATATATATAGACTATACCATAAGTGTCAGAATATTTTATATGCTTATTCCCTTCTTCTTGCAGAAAGGCATGGCCAGTTGTCCTTCCTAGGGACTCTTTCTGCTTTCTTTAACTGGAAATAGCTTGTAGGCAGCAGAGCATCCATCAAACTACGCCTGTGAGGTGGGCTTGACATCTCACAAAAGAGGACAGAAAATCTCTACCTGTTTTATTGCTTTGTGAATTGTTCTAAATAAATGTTGCTTTGATTTTTTGGAACTTCCTTTTCTTTCACTTAACTGATGGAGGCTCATTCCGAGAGGTCAAGGCACACGCGAGGAGCCAGAAACGTGCCCAGGTTCTTTCTTCCACACAAATGGTTTCAGGTATGAATCTTTTCAGGTGTCTGTGCAGGACCTGAGGCTTAAGGCTCTTCCACAGACTCTTCTGGGGTGTGACTGGGTGTCCTTCATTCCTTCCTGGCAATTGCCCAGTCCAGGGGCTGCAGGAGCACGCACTGCTGGCAGGACAGATGCCCACAGAGGCAGAGGGGGAAGCAAAGGCTGGTGGTGCTCCCTGCACGTTGTTGGCTCAGCAGCACCAGAGAGAAGATCTGCTGATGTGCAGAGTGTGCATCCCCAGGCTCCCCCAGCTGGGGAAGGGCTCAGGGCACACCGGGAGGCAAGTGGCTTTTTGCCAAGTTACATGGCAAGCAGGATACAGAGGAACAATGTGGGAATCCAGGAAGCCAGGAGAGCTCTCCTCATGGCCATTAACAAACAAACAGCCCCACTCCAACTACCCCTTGCACTGCTGCCCAGCTCCCACATCCCACAGCACCCAGGGGGCTCTCACAGGGACAGCCCAAGCTCCTGCTGCAGGTATTGACCCTTTGTAGGTGTCCTCTTCTTCCTGCTCACCCCTGGGTTCACTTGCTTTTGCACACCTCTGGATCTCAAGCAGTGCCATCTGCACTACCTGGCCACCCCCTTTTCTGCATTTTCCATCACTTGTGAAAAACTCCAGCTGTGGCAATTAGGAACAGCTAATTGCAGCAACCATGCTGCCACTTCTGTCACACATTTCTTACCCCTTCCCTTGTTCTGCTCTGACACAGCCTTTATGTCCATTAGTGGTGTGTTTGTTGAATCAATGTGTCAGTCCCTGTACATTCACAAAAATCATTATCCTGACAAGACAGAAGGAATCCTGTGTCTTTGGGAATGCAGAACCATCAGTATAACTCCTGGGTAGAAGGGAGGCACACATGAGAACAAAGTCGTTTCTGACTGTGTGAGGGGAAGTGTTCTGTCCATCTGTGGATTTTAAAGCCCAAATATAAAGACTGGTACACACTTTTAAAGAGAAAGGAATGACACCACGGCCACAGAGTATAGGCCACATTTAAACAGCAGATCCTTACCTTATGTCCCAAACCTCATTTTATTTCCTAGCTTCAGTATTCATGGTCACTTGGTTCAGATTCCCAGATGCAGCTATTGTTGAAGAAATTCTCAGCAGTATATTTACTGACACTATTCAGCAAGAACTGCTGCTGTTCTGTTTTTCACATTCTGTCAATAAAAGCCTTCATCTTTTCTAATGAAGTTTATTAATTATCCATAATTACTAGAATTGCCTTTCCAAGGTGGTCAGTATATTTGTTCTGTGCCAGTCCCTCTTCTCACATCATCTTGTTGCTAAGTGTGAAATATGCAAATTTTTATTAAGATACCATGTTGTTTGCTGTTTGATAACTTGTACCTTGCAAACCTGATCAACAAGGAGGGAGATTTAATCCATGAAACAGAGCGGCCAACAAGCTCTAAGTGATGTGCAGCTGTTAGAAACACAAATTCCTGGTCAGCAGCATTGCCTTGTTAAGGTTTGGGGCTGGACAGGTTCCGATGATCTCAGCCCCGTGGGAAGATAACAGAGCTGCAGCGTGGCAGCTGTCAGGGCAGCACTGCGTGGCTGCTTGGTACACACTGTGACACACCACAGATGCTTTGCTGCCAACAGCCCTCCCCGAAACTGCCATTGACACAGCTTCTCTGAGCCTTTCTACATTTCCAAACGCCAATTGTAAGTTTCAGAGCGTGGGAAGAGCCCTTGCAGGGGTTCCTGCCACGCAAAGGGTGGAGGGAAAATCATGCAGGAGTGTTATTCCGTGGGGACTGTAGCAAACAAACCTGCCTTTGCCAAAAAAATGGTGCTGACCACATGGCACCCCATCACTCAGTGGCTAAGAGCAGGACACCCTCTCACCAAGCCCCGTGGGAAACCAGCAGCTCCTGAGCGTGGGCACTGAAGAGGCAAACTAAAACATTTACCAGCACCAGCCGAAGCAACACCAACATACCAACTACCCCACATAGCTCAGCAGAGCCCCAGAGCCACCCTGCCTTCCCCTGCTTCAACTCTACCAAGGTTCTCACACTCTACAGGACACACATCCTGCAGCCAGTGAGGACATGCTGATGGCAATGGCTGGTTCAGCTCCTGTGTTCCAGCCCTTCTACATTAATGTTGTGGAGGAGGAAGATTACATGGGTTTCCTTGATACGGATCATGCAGATAAGCTACTGAAGGAGTATCAGCAGAGAGAGTGTCTTGATTTGGAACAGATGATGGCAGAAAGGTGAGAACAGGTCTGCAGTTCATGATGAAACTGAAGGAATTGTGTGCTTTCCTGTACGCTGGCTGAGAATCTCAATGGCACTCTCACTAAACCTGAATGGTGACAATTGGCTGGAAGCTCCTTTAGGAACCATTGGGGCGCTGTGCAGTGCACCCAGTGCTGCCAAAGCTGGAGTTACTCCAAGGTGCTTTTAGCTCAGCTGCTTCTGAGTGACTGAGCCGTGTTCATGGGCTCCAGGAGGTGCAGTGGATGGTTAATCTCTGATGCAAGATCTGTGCCAAATGGCAGGACTTTAGATCATGACATTCCACACTTTCCCCTTTACAGGCCTAAGCTTTTCTTCCATTTCAGTGGCATTTTTAGGAGTTTAACTTTTGTAGGGATTTTGGCTAGAGAGCTGGCTGATGGAAAGACACCTGAAGGTTTAGTAAAGGTTGCCTGAAAAACAGTTGTTGAGTGTGGTTACTGAAAATATCTCTTAGTGAAATATTTAACTAAGGGGTTACAGTGAGGACTTCTGGCCTCTTGTGCCTGGATTGGGGACAACATTGGATTTGTTTGTAGCTAAAGCTGCTGTCAACTGCAGAATCTGCATAGAAGACTTTTCAGCAGTGGGGGTCCTGTTGATTTTTGATGACATTTATAAAATTGCGGAACTTTAATTATGTTGGATTCAAAATTGAAAATAATACCATCACATTTAAGAACCACAAAAATGTTTGAGAAATTATTAGAGGAAGGGGGTTTTGTTGGAATACAGCAGATATCTGGTGGATTTGATTCCCATGTGATAGCTGAAAACATTGTTAGTAAATTGTAGGTCACCAGAAACCAAAGAACTAGAAGCAAAATATTCACTTGCAACCTCTACAGGAATTTTCTCTGAACAGGTATATCTTTTTCAGTGTATTTAGTATAATTTACCGTGAGTTTACAGTCCTCATTGTTTTCTCAGCAGCTGAGACTCACAGCATTGCCCATCTGGCAGTGCACAGTGAGCACTGGCCGTGCCCTCAGCCTCAGGAGCTGCACCCAGCACAGCCTGGCAGGGCGGGCAGGGCACTGGGGCAGAGCTCAGGAGCCACCACAAACCCAGCACAGGCTGCAGACACAGCCAGCACTGCTTGGGGTCACCTGCAGTGCCTGCCACCCGTTTGCCCTGGGAGCAGCCAGGTTAAAGCTGGCTGGGGTTTATCTCCAGGCACTGTAAATCACACCTGTGCAAATACACAGGGGAAGATTTGGAGTAAAGTGCACAAGGAGCATTTGGAGTAAAGTGCACAAGCACAGCCACAGCACTCAGCACTAACAGGAGCAAAAGAGATGTGCTAAACTAATTTGAAGACTGTGGCTCTTGTAAGCCACTGAGCTGTAAAGAGAGGTGTGAGCAGGACTGGATCTGGAGAAATGGAGCCCCTCTCCTGTGGAGACAGGCTGAGAGAGCTGGGATGTTCAGCCTGGACAGGAGAAGGCTCTGGGCACACCTCAGAGCCCCTTGCAGGAGCCCCAGGCAGCCTCCAAGGAAAATGGAGAGGGGCATTTGCCAAGGGCATGTAGCAACAGGACAAGGGGGATGGCTTCAAACCAACTAAGGTAGGTTTAAATCAGATGCACAGAAGAAATTCCCCCCTCTGAGGGTGCTGAGGCTCTGGCACCCAGAGCTGCCCAGAGCAGCTGTGGCTGCCCCACCCACGGCAGTGCCCAAGGCCAGCTTGGACAGGAAGGTGTCCCTGCCCATGGCACAGGTGGCATGAGTAGAGCTTGGAGGTTTCTTCACACCCAAACCATTCTGTCATCAGATCAGCTTTTGAAACGCATCAGAGTCTTTGAAATGCTCGTTCTGACAACTGAGAATTCACATGATCGGAAATTGCAAAACTGCCAAACTTTCTGGGGCAAGAGCTACTGAGTCAGAAAAAAAAAAGAAGAAAAAGGCAGAGCCTAATACCTGGATAAAACCAACACAACCTCTTAGTTAGTGTGAGCAGAAAATCTCTACTCAGCTATTCTCTTCTCTCCTTTTCATATCGTCCTTCAATTATGGGTGTGCAATGTATTGAAATAAATCCTTTGGATTTTCCAGAGGCATTAGATATAGAGTTACCACCCAAATACCCCCCTTTACTATTGCTCCCACTTGACAAAAGCTAATCATTCATCACTTTCTGGTTGTTACTGCGTTGCAACACTATTCCAAACATCCCTGAACACACAGAACTGAGTCACAGCTGCCTCCTGCACCCTGCAGGAAAAGCTGGGGTTTTCCTAGTATTGGGGGTTTTGTCAGAAAAATGCTTTTCTGAGAATAAAAATGACTCCACATTTACTTCAGTAAAAGTACACCTGCAGGGCTATAGGTTTGGTCTTGGCTAGGCTGTTTCCCACACGGAGATCTCAGCACCCAAAGGCAGTGAATGTGAGCGAGCAGAGCCGAGGTGTCCTGCAGGTGTGTGCGGGGCAGGCTGAGCAAAGCCTCCCCCGGAGCCGCAGCCGGACGTGCTGCAGCAGCAGGACAGCGCTCCCGGCAATGCCGGGCCGTTTCCAAAGCACTTGGAACCCGCGGGGCCCGGGATTCTGGCAATGCCGTGGCCAAGGAGCGCTGGGGAGGCAGCAGGAGCGCCGTGGGCAGGAGGGCTCC